CACAAGAGGGCGCCAAGACAGCTGGCATCACTGACTGTGCTAGATTGATCCACGCAACAGCGGGCCGCTCGTCGGGGACGCCTGAATGACATCAGCCAGCGCGGTGAGTTTGGGACCCTATGTATTCCACCAAAGGAAACCAACGAAGGGGGAAGAGTGATTTCCAGTCGGCTTGGGGCACGTTTGCTCGGCGGTACATCTTGCTCTAATTGCCTTTCGAAAACGCCTTTATTTAGTGTCGTACGGAACAGCCGCTATGAACGCACTTGCTTCTTGACTGTAACACTTGGATGGCTCCAGGCCTCTAGGCTCACCCGTTTCCAAATACGGGAACGAACAATCATTCGATCAAAAGCCTCTTGAGGCAACTGATCGCTGAAAGTGAGGCGCGTCCGATGAAATTGTGTTCATGTACGGGTCGAAAGTACTGGGGCCCGACGGTCGAGCACGTCCTCTTTTCTGGTAACTTCACCTCTTCTGCAACAGCCTTTCCAGATTCCTGGGCCTTCCAAATGTTCGTTTTACACAATCGCGTGGCACGCTGCATATGAGAATCCCTGAATCTTTTGCGGAGCACCCTGTCTGAGAAGGCTTTGCTTTACTTGCCTTCGTCAACCTGCCCTTTCTGCAGACACCGTCCTTTCTTAAGATTGCATCCTTTCTAGACAGTCGTTGGCGACTTGGCTGCCGTGGTTGTGTAAGTTTTCCGGTGTCGAGACCTATTGTCACGTCGCTTTGTATGGATCAACGAAGGGACAGGGATTTGATAGGCAACGTTTCAGCGCAGGCAACGACCCTTACCACAACCAGCTCCACGCACCCTTATTTAAGCGGTGCTTTTCTTCATGGACCTTACAACAAACACCGACGACCGCAGGTAGGGCGATAGGGAGTCGTCGGAGCCGTACCCGCTGCACGAAGCGTCGAAGCAGTCAGCTAGCACATCGCCGGAGTGCAAGCACGCCAACCAAAGTTGCAATACCCGCTAGGTAAATGGCTACCCGCTTTAGATCGGCAACAATAAGTTCACCAGTAGAGTAGCGCCTACTTGTACGATGACGTCATGTGTACAAGTCAAAGTGTACGGCAGGGGCGGGTTATCGAACTTTTCTGAAGAACGGTTCAGAGCCGTGATTGAAAACCCCTCCTTAAATTGTGGCCGCGCATCTCCGGATCAAAAACCTGATAACTTAAGCGTCCGGCTTTCATTTCAGCGTCCGATGTGCACTGAATAATGATCAGTCCGCCCTGGTGCAGAATCAGACACACTTACTACTAAGGATCTGCACGGCCTCGACTTGATCGACACCATACAAGTTGCACTATAGTCCTCCACGGTCTATCCGCATGCAGTGCACGTCCCTGTTCTAACCATGTACCGTATAGCTCGAGCGCGAGCAAAGGTTTCAAGAATGCCCGCCGCCAATAAGGGCCGCGGCACATCATGGTTATTTTATCCTAGCTTAAATCATATCATGCCCGGCGGGGCGGCCCGCCACGTGTCACTATAGCTTGATGAGGCGCTACATTCGTCAAAGCACTAGCTAGATACGTTGTAGTCACTAGCTAGCTGTTGGCACATATATGGACTCGGATTGATCGACCGCGGCACGAATTAAATGATCATGCTGTGCGCATGGCGCGCGGCGGTCCTGGTAAATCTTGTTGTACATGTAAGAGATTTGATGTATCGTGATCTCATCCGGGCCGGGCGCGCACGCGGCCCATGCATGCTGAGAAATCTGTTCAAGTTTGTTAGACTCAGTCCGCGGCCGCTCTCGGCCTAGTGGCGGCCGGCGCGCCGGATATGGATCCAAATATAGTAAAATTGCAGGAGGCCACTTTTGGCCGGATCGTCGCTCGTAGTTGTGAGTCGCATGGAGTAAATGACGGAGCCGCATAAACTGCTAGTTCACGATGGATAAGTGCATGGAAGAGGCAAGTAGCGGCGGCAGATGATTAACCAAAGACAGCGCCAAGGGATCCGCTTGCCACTATATGAATATCCGCTTGCCACTGTCTTGGCCAAACGCAAGCATATAGCTAGCCTTGGAGACTCCGCTTTTGAAACAAAATTTTCTGCTTCGTTTATTAGATCCAAATTTGCCCCGGATGCTCTGATACTCTCAATCTACCTGCTTCGGTATACTCCTTCCAAAGCCGCCCTTCGACGAGACTCCCTTTAACCGCACACTCCTCGAGGCCGCTGCTTAAACCTTTGCAGCCGAACGACTCTCTCGCCTGGGGCCGCCCTTCTCCACAATCTCCTACACCTCAAGAGGTGCCGCCTAGCACCCCTTCTCCTCGCAAGTCCCAGACCCGTCGCTCCAAACCTTTTAGTGACGGTCCGACCCGCTGACGTCACGGCTGACGTCGCAAGCAACCAGACCGGCGGCAGCAGAGTGCCTGAAAAGGGTGGGCGAAAAAATGAGAAGGGTTCCGTTCTATAGATCGAACCTGGCAATTGGCTTCCGCTTTGTTGAGAATGCAGCTCAGAGAAGTGCCTTTCTTTCATAGGCATCAATGAAAGTGAAAGGGACAAGGTGGCTACCGGTCGAGAGCGATAACAAATTCGTTCAAAGACGACAACTTCAATGCCTTAAATCTTGGTAATCCCCGAACGGGCAATCGGACTAGCTGCATTATTCGCTCCGTCAATCTCCTCACTGAACGAACTACGGCAGACACGAAACCTAGGTTTCTTTGATTTGAGGCAATTTTCGGCACTTCCCATGCATCGAGATGAAAAACGAACGTACAGAGTAAGCAAGCGCCACAACCTCAGCTTCGAAAACTTTGCCTTCTACGCCAGTGGCCCAATTTCACATAGACTGACTCACCGCACGGCATCATGACGATCGCACCCCCGCACTCCTCACATCCTGCTCCTTTCCCCTTGCACCGGTTCCCCGCTCGCTTGCACCTCTTCTCTCGCAGCCCCTTTCCGTTCAGTTCCGCCTCCCCATTTTGTCCCCGCTCCTCACTTTCGCCCCGCACCCCATTCTCGGCTCCCTCGCTCACTCCCGCTTCCCCAGCTTTCACCCCCTCCCCACTCCCGGCTCCAGTCTCGCTTCCTGCCCCTTCTGCCTTCCCGGCCGAGGGCCCGTTCCCTTCCGTTTCTGTCACCTTCAAACTCCGCAAAACCCCCGCCGCTAGTTCTCTCAGCCCGGGATCTTCTCCCTCCTGGATCTCCGCAGCCGGCAGACTCGCCAGCGTTCGCAGCGTCTCCAAGCACCGCGGCACCGCAGCGATTCCCCGCCGAATCTCCTCATCTTCCGCGAAAATGAGAAGGGCCTCCAGCGCAACTTCCCGCATCCAGTGCTGTTTCAGGAGCTCCACGAAGTTTTGCAGAGCCCCAGGGATCCCCGCAATCTTCCTCCGCACCGCCAGATCTCCCGCCAGGTCAATGAGCAGCCACGTGGCAGCCTCCGGCACCTCGGTCCCCAACACGCGCACCAGCTTCTCCAGGCTCCCCGGAATGGACAGAAACGCTTCCCGGTTCTTCACATCAGCCGCCAGAAACTCTTGCAGGATGTGCGGCGAGACGTCCAGCATCGACTCGTCAAATGCCTCCGGATCCAAAAACCCGACGAGCGTTTGCAGGAGGCCCGGCTTCCCTAAGACCGCCGCCCGCGTCTCGGGGTCTGCCACCAGTTCCCAGAGCGCTCTCAGCCCCCACTCCGCCACCTCGCTCTCGCTGCACTCCAGCAGGCCGAACAGCCCTTCCAAGCAGCCCGGCGTTGCCGCGATGGCCCGGGCCTTCTCCTTGTCACCACGGGCCAGATTGTGCAGGATCCTTGCAGAGATGGCCCGCTGGACGTCGGTGCACTTCTTGCCCAGAAGCCCTACCAACTCCTGCAGAACCCCGGACCGTGCCCAAACAGCATCCGTGTTCCCGTTGCCGCTAGCCGTGCACCACAGCGCCTCGCCAGCTGCGATCTGCACGTATTCCCCGGGACCCTTGAAGAGGCGGAAGAGCTTTTGCAGACACCCGGGTGCGGCGCCGATGAGGGGCCGGCACTCGAGATCCCACGCCAACCTGTGCAACACCAACGCCGCCGACTCCTGCGCCCCATCCGCCCCCCCAATGCCCAGAACAACCACCAGCTGCTCTATGGCCCCCGGTTCCTCCGCGATCGCCTTCCCGAGCTCGGCGTCAACAGCCAATTGGGAGAAGATGTCGGCGGCCACCTTGCGCAAGCGGCCCGATCCACTCTTCAGGAGTTTGGCCAGCCTCTTGAGGCCTTCCGGCGTGCTCGCTATGCGCTTGCCCGTCTCCAAGTCCCCTGTGATGCTCTGCAGAACCCCTGCTGCTGTTAGGATCACTGCTTCAGACGGTTGCTTATCTAACTTGTCCACCAACACATGCACCAAGTCAGGCACCTTGAGAAGCTCCTTGCCGACGGCTTCATCGGCCCCAACAACCCGCAGCGCCTCCAACACGAGCCAGCGAGGTGCACCCCTGTGCTTCAAAATCGTCGTCAGCCCCTGCAAGAACCCTGGCGCCCTCGCCACCGCCTGCCGGGATGTTGCATCCCGTGTCAGTGCCGCCATCAGCGTGACAACCCGCTGCTGCACGAAGCCGCTTTTGCTGGTCATATGGCTCACCAACACATGAAGCGCTCCAGCATCCACTGCAACAACCCTCCGCACTTCAGCGTCATCCTTTGCAAGTAACTCCAGCACGTCTGCCGCCTTCTCTAGCACGTCGT